TACACATATATGATATATATATATATATATACAGCTGTCTCTTATACACATCTAGATGTGTATAAGAGACAGGAGAGAGAGAGAGAGAGAGAGAGAGAGTCCATACGACGATCGGAAAGTTCCTCACGTCCATAAAGGGAGCCGTACTTATCAGGAAGATCAAGAATACTTATTATGTTATCCTACATTCCCGCAGCGTTACTTCACTATCTTTTCAACAGATATAAAAGCTGGAGATGTCGCCATACGTTCATGACACATCACCACCCTTACATGTACAAGTAGGACACAAAATGCCCACACATGGGACATCGATTGGGACGACGTGGAATTTTTTATGTGGTCGACCCTTTCTGCTTGACTGTGTGCCATGGTGAAGGAATATGGCGCAAATGTAAATGTTGTAATTCCTTTTCGATAGAAGTATAGTCATCAAGGAACGACAGTGCCAGTCTGTTATCCATAACTGCAGACAACAAGCAATGGAAATTCATTGCCAAGCTGTCCAAGGCAATTGTACAACCAGAAATAGACGGTATAACACACCCGCATGCACACACGCCCCGGTCACATAGATGGGAAAAACGGGCACACGAATGGCTCATCGTTACAATGAAAATACGGGGGACAAATCCTCAACCGCCAAACACCGTTTTGCGCGACAGTTCCATAATGACGTTCAAGGATAGCATTCACAAGGGGGCGAACAATATCGTAAACTTTGTCCCCAAGACTTGGAGTGAGAAGTAAGTTGTCAAAGTACATTGTCGGTTTCGACATCATAACAGCAATGTGTGTTACAACATGTCGATGAACGTATATCAGTGTTGCCAACCTCACTACTCGTTCATCCCCGACAGCAACAACGAATTCTTGGTGTTTGGTCCATGACCCGTGCTCACAGTCGTCAATGTCCTCTAAAAAGTCATCCATGGTGTGGACGTCGGACTCATAATAATAAACTGTTTCATTGTTCGAAAGTTTGCCCGACCAGAACAATTGAAACAGCATTGTGTCGTCGCACTTTTTATTCCTGCGAACTGTCGGGTCTGCAAAAAAGGAAAAAGGAAAAATAAAATAAAATAATGAATACATAAATACCATCGTAAAGTTGGTGTTTCCTTTCTTATTCTGTCATTTGAACCATGCATCATGATCGTGTGCTGGATGCAAAGTCGATGTGCCTTTGGGTCTGTTTATGTGAGTGGGGCAGGGGATGTAGTGGTTACAATTGAACACACACACACACACACACACACACACACACACACACACACACACACACACACACAGACACACACACACACACACACACACACACACACACACA